ACCGTGAAGGTGTCGTTTGAGAGATAAATTCTGTGGATACCGTGGATATGTGGTTTGAGAGATAAATTATGTGGGTACCGTGGATATGTGGTTTGAGAGATAAATTCTGTGCATACCGTGGAGATGTGGTTTGAGAGACCTATTCTATAGATACCGTGGAGATGTGGTTTGAGAGACCTATTCTATAGATACCGTGGAAATGTGGTTTGAGAGACCTATTCTATAGATACCGTGGAGATGTGGTTTGAGAGACCTATTCTATAGATACCGTGGAGATGTGGTTTGAGAGACCTATTCTATAGATACCGTGGAGATGTGGTTTGAGAGACCTATTCTATAGATACCGTGGAAATGTGGTTTGAGAGACCTATTCTATAGATACCGTGGAGATGTGGTTTGAGAGACCTATTCTATAGATACCGTGGAGATGTGGTTTGAGAGACCTATTCTATAGATACCGTGGAGATGTGGTTTGAGATACCTATTCTATAGATACCGTGGAGATGTTGTTTGAGAGACCTATTCTATAGATAGCGTGGAGATGTGGTTTGAGAAACCTATTTTATCGATACTTGAGAGATGTGGTTTGAGAGACCTATTCTATAGATACTTGAGAGATGTGGTTTGAGAGACCTATTCTATAGATACCGTGGAGATGTTGTTTGAAGACCTATTCTACAGTTACCGTGGAGATGTTGTTTGAGAGACCTATTCTATAGATACCGTGGAGATGTTGTTTGAGAGACCTATTCTATAGTTACCGTGGAGATGTTGTTTTAGAGACCTATTCTATAGATACCGTGGAGATGTTGTTTGAGAGACCTATTCTATAGATACGGTGGAGATGTTGTTTGAAAGCCACAATATGTGGATACCATGGAGATGTGGTTTGATAGACGCATTCTGTGGATACCGCGGAGATGTGGTTTGACAGACGCATTTTGTGGATATCGTGGAGATGTGGTTTATAAGACTAACTCTGTGGATACCGTTGAGATTTTGTTTGAGAGACGCATTCTGTAGATACAGTAAAGATGTTGTTTGAATGTCACATCATGTGGATACCGTGAAAATGTGGCTTGAGAGACGCATTGTGTGGATGAAGCAGAAATGTGGTGTTAGAGACGCATTCTGTTTATACCGTGAAAGGTGAGGTTTGAAAATGAAAGACTCATTCTGTGGATACTGTAAAAGGTGTGGTTTGAAAGACTCATTCTGTTGATACCGGTAAGGTGTGGTTTGAAAGACAAATTTTGTGGATACTGTAAAAGGTGTGGTATGAAAGACTCATTCTGTGGATACCGTTGAGATGTGTTTTGAGAGACGTATTCTGTGGATACCGTGGAGATGTGGTTTGAAAGACTCATTCTGTGGATACCGTAGAGATGTTGTTTGAAAACCACATTCTGTGGATACCGTAGAGATGTTGTTTGAAAGCCACATTCTGTGAATACAGTTGAGATGTGGTTTAAAAAACGCATTCTATGGATACCGTGGATAAACAATCACTGTCTCCAAATGATTCATGAAATTCGAAAGGCATACACAACTATTCGAAAGTGGCAGTCCTATGATGAGAAACACATTATAGAACATCGCGATGACTGCAAAGATCGACAATAGAAGATGCAAATAGGTAGATCAAGAAAGACGATGCTTGACGACTTAAAGCATTAGCATGGTGGGATATCATCAGTGAAATTGATTCGGAATACCAAAGAATGAAATCAGCCGAGAAACATGAGGATGGTGGCTCCCATGTCAACCAAGCCTAGCATAAATACCAAGGTCCTGTGAAATAATGGATACTGGGAGATTACTGGTCAAGTGTTGGTCGACCTTTAAAAATTATTGTCCTAGCACTAGATGCATTTTACAAAATTACCAATAATCTATTCAGTCTTTGTTTGTCAAGTCAGCAGAAAAGAGAATTCGTAAGGGTGGCTAAATAACTCACTTCCTAAAACACGGAAGTATTTCATGGACAGATAACATGAGTAATGAAGAATTCTTGAAAGAAACTGACCAATGAAGAGAACAGATTAGCCCCATCAGAAAAAGACAATTTACATTCTTAGGTCAGGTGATGAGAATGAGAAAACTGGAGTATATTGTGACAGTAGGAAAGCTGGAGGGAAGGAGAGGCAGAGGGAGACTAAGAGAGAAGATGCTGGGCAGTTTGACATCATAGCACTGACGATCATCTGTTTAGAGCTGACTAAAAGTACACGAGACAGAAGATCGTTGATATACATCACTACCAACGCCATACGGCATGGACTTAATAAGAAGAGTCATGAATAGTTTTCTGATTAGAAAACAATGTTTTCGAAGCCGTGGAGATGTGGTTTTATAGACGAATGAGGAGACTACCCTGAACAGATAAAAGAGAAATAAAGATATCGTGGAGGAACTGACTCCTGAAGAGGCCAGAATGTCCACGCCAGAACAAGACAGATTACATTCTTTGGTCATGTCATGAGACGCAGAAAACTGGAGTGAATCTCGACGATGGTAAAGTTGGAGGGCAAAAGAGACAGATGAAGACAGAGATAAAATGTGTGACATCATGGTATGGAAGATTATTTTTGCCAAAACCGATGGAAAATAAAGGGGACAGAGAGTTGTGGATAGACATGACTACTAGCGCCAAACCGTAGCATCTCTACTAGGAAGCACTATATACCCTATTTGCCAGTCACGTAAAAAAGGGTCTATACTTTTACATTTGCAATATTTCATAACTGGTTGATTACGACGGAAATCTTACTCATAGAAAGAAAATCAATCGTTTCACGAAGGAAGCCGTTAAAACATATCTGAATACCATAACTACAGCATTAACTCTAACTGCAGTTGATAACTCAGACTCAGAAGGGAGCCATCAACAGATAAGAGAGTTAAAAAAAAACTGCACTGTGACTCATCGCTTATCTACTATATTTGCTGGTAAGTTCTTGTATGAATTCTAGTTGTAACACCGATACAAAGCTTACCTGCTTAGAAGAAAAATAGACACCAAAACAATACATTGTGTGAGCCACTGTATGGTGAATTAAACATCGACTGCCGATTGGTACCTTTCTATGTGATATAGTGTGCAATGGAATACCATGTCAAACCCTGCCTATAATTACAACGAATAGGACAAGGTCTTCTATTAGAGCATCTATTAAGCATGCCTCAGATATCTCAGCTCTCAGCCTATCTGCAGTCGTTTACTCGTGTATCCATATTCCCTTCATGATTTCCCTGTGCATGCAAAATAGACCTTGGCACCACCTGCCTTATCCACGCTTCTAAACTGATACTTAAAGTGTGTCAGATTGGTCACGCTTGGAAGCACTCGTGTTCCTATAGCCAGGGCTGTTGTCTCTTGTAACTGATACATTTTTTTCTCCGGTATAGTAACAAAAGATTTTGAATATGTGGGGTGCAGTGTTTAACACCCCCCCCCCCCTCCCCCGAACCACTATGATGATTACATACGAAATAATAACACCCAGTAACCTAAAAGACATTCGGATGAAAATCAAACAGGTACAAATCCCACAAACATTGTTCTAATGTCTAACGTAGATATATTACGGTGTCCAAAAGTCACGAAGTAACCTGCAGTCCAATGTTGTAACAATGTCTTTCTATCTTCACTTTCTTTCCTTTGCATTTGTGAATTCCAATGAATTCAATGTTATTACTTACAACCCGTCGGTACCTTAGACTCAAAAGATGTTACGGTCTGTTTTACCATGTTTTAAGGCAGTGTAGACGGGGAGGAAAGGGGGAGGGGCTTGAGTCTGGTGATTTAGGGCAGCCTGACTAAGTGCTATCGCCACGGACTGTGCAGATGAGGCTGTTTAATTTTGTCACCGACAGAAAAACTCCAACGTCTTACAGGGGGTCGAACTCGGGTCTCCCGCAAGAGAGCCTGACGTTGTAACACGCGGCCAGCCGCTCTTCAGACTCAGAAATAATACACTAAAACGGCCAATATTGAGCTGTGACTAACTTACACTCAATGAGACAACAATAAAACAAATTGTAAGAAAACTTGAATATATTCTTTATGGGTTAACCCCAGTGATAATTTGGCACTTGGGACTTAGATGTCCTAAACCAATACACCACCCTTCAATATAACAAACACTGAACTTCCCCTGATGCGAGAGTAATTTTGACTTTGTAGAAAAAAAAATATTAAAAAAAAAAAATATATATATACAGGTCAACACAACTGTCGCTTTAAACCAGTGAACGATGAATGTCTGACATTCAAAATTGAGACCTTTGCTGTAAAAGTGAAGAGCAGGAAAAACTCACAACCTGGGAAAATAAACTAACGTTCAGAACTGAACGATCAATTTGGACATTCCGCCGCAGTTTAAGTCAGTGGATGCGAAGAAAAAGAAAAATAGACATCCGCACAACATCGAGAACTCTTGAACCATGACAAAATCACCCACCAACACAGAACTCTTAAATCGTGACAAAATCACTAATATATCAACACTAAGAACTCTTGAACTGTGACAATCACCTACATATCAGCTTAGAACTCTTGAATGGTGACAACAATCACAAACTAATCAACACTAAGAACTCTAGAATGGTGACAACAATCACAAACTAATCAACACTAAGAACTCTTAAACCGTGAAAAAAAAAAAAAAAAACTGTCTACCAATGCAGAACTCTTTCATCGTGACAAAATTACTTACATATCAACTCTGAGTCGTTTTAAACCATGAAAAACATCACCTAGCTACCAACTTAGAGCTCTTCAACTATGACAAACATCACCTACCTACCAACACAAATTACTTGAACAGTGCCCAAATTACTTACATATCAACACTGACAACTCTTGAACCAAGTCAAAATCACCTACCTACCCATGCAAAGCTTTTGAACCATAACAAAAACACTTGCCTTTCAACATGAGAACACATGAACTGTGACAAAATCACTGACCTGGCACCACTCTTGACAAAATCACCTACCTAGCATCCCCAGGGGTAAGTTGTTAGCGTTGAGCTGCCTGTTCTTGTTGATGGCTTCAAACGTCAGGAACCACAGGTACTCATTCGTCATCAGGTTCAGCTTCTTTGCTACCTGTAGGATGTTTAGCGTATCTCCTCTGCCAGAGTGAGATGCGTTCCAAGTCGAGCAGAAGAAACAGAACAACAAACAGCATGATAGTTTGTTTCTGTTAATCCCCCCCCCCCCCCCCCATCTTTTCCCCTTCTTATAATGGTTACAGCAAACAGTTGTATATATTTATTTTTACAATTTTTACGTGTGTTCAGTTTATACTGCAAGTTACGTAAAGCCTCTGATATACTAAGGAGAAATACACGGAGGACTAGGCATGGCAGACTGTTAAGTCTCGAAGTTAATGTTTCTTCTGGCCGCGCTTTGCTAATGCAGTTTTCACGTATAGACGGTAGTCTAGGATTTCACTGCCGGAGCTACTGAGTTTAGTGCTTGGTGCAGCCCTGCGAGCTGTGTTTTTCATGTGAAATGTCTTTCGTTTGTGCATTGGTTAAGTGGTTGTATTCAATATGGCGAACTGCCGGTTAAAGTGTGGGCTGGCAAAAATTCCTCATGTAATAATTCTACATGAGCATAGCCAACTTATCGTGCCCGAATATTTCCGTCAACGACAAACTGCTTTTCTGGTGGCGACTGTTGGCTATGACGCGTCTAGAACTGCTTTATGAAATAGCTGCGTGTGCATATTTCTGGATTGTTCCAGGATTAATTGATTGTTTACCGTTAGGACAGTGGCGGACATTTCATTTGATTTTCATTGGCACAAGAACAGAGCAAGTATGGGGAAAACCGATTGCAGTGAAGCTGAAAGTTTGACCAAAGACTAAGACTAGGACTGAGATGGTTTCCCCATACCTACCGCCGATGTGTGTTTTCTGTGAGTAAAAGTACCAGGACGAGGAAATGCAATTGGACAACAGTTATGGCAGGATAGGTTTAGCAGTCTATGAGAGAAGCTCCGACAAGCGGTTTGACAAAACATTGCTTTTTTTTTTTTTATCCCAGAGTTTCTGCAACATGCTTTGTTCCAAACGTATTAGTGTCACCTTTCCTTTTTAATAAACAAGGCAGGGCGAGCGAGGGATAATGTTGCATGAGCAACACTTGCACTTTATAATAGTACCCAGGTTTCCTGATCTGGAGGTGATGAATTTCATCCCTGGTTTTATTCGGCTGCATTTCACATGCCTTTCTATAACATAATATATCGCATGGAAAAGTGAATATGTCAATGAAAGTTTTAGACCTCAATTCATTGCCCAGTTCTTCTACATTCTCCGGCGACTTTTAAAGCAAAAAGGAAGCTGTTGTGGTGTTTACAGTGTTTGTTGTTTGTAGTACTGTTTGTGGAAATTTCAGAGCAGGCCATCCTTCCACTCAGCGTCGAAGTATGGGAATAATAAAATTCACATAAACAATAACAGATTCTTTAATGACAAAGATTAATCTGATCAGTTGAAAATATTTTATTGTTCATTTTGACAATTAGACAATCACTGGTATTTATATCTGCCTTACTCCATTGAGAAACGTACGAACAGTTATCATAATATGTATGGTGTGTATATCGTAATCGTGTTTGTGTATGTATGAGTGTGTGTATCGGTTTAAGTTGTTTCGTGAGTGTGTGTATGTCTACGTGTGCGTGTGCGTGTGACTGTGTGTGTGTCTGTGGGATTATGTGTCAATATGTCTCTGTGTGGGCGTGTCTGTGTCTACGTGTCTGTGCCAGCGTGTGTGTATGTGTGTGTTGTGCGTGCGTGCGTGCGCCTTGTGCTTGTGTGTGTGCCTTGTGTATATGTGTGTGTGAGTGTCTGCGTGTCTTCTGTGTGTGTGTGTCTTCGGGTGTGTCTGTGTGTGTATGTGTATGTATGTGGTGTATATGTCTTTATGTGTTTCTGTGTGTATGTGTCTGTGTGTGTTTGTCTGTGTATGTGTGTGTATTTATGCATGAGCGTCTACGTGTGCATGTATGCATGTGTGTCTGCGTGTGCGTCTCTGTGTTTGTGTCTGTGTGTGTGTCCGTGGGTGTGTGTCTGTATATGTGTGTCTGTGTGTTTTTTTTGTGTGTGTCTGTGCGTGTGTGTTTGCGTGTATGACTGTGTGTATGTGTCTGCATGTGTTTCTGCGTGTATGTGTCTGAATGTATCTGTGCGTGTCTGTGTGTTTTACGTGCATGCATCGTGTATTCCTGAGTGCGTGTTTTTGTGTGTGTCTTTGTTGTATTTCTGTGTGTGTGTGCGTGTGTGTGTATGTGTGTGTGTGTGTGTTTATTGTCTGTACGTTTGTCTGCGTGAGTGTCGGTGTAAAAGTGCGTCTCTGTGTGTATATTTCTTTTTCCCCTTGATATTTATAATATGCATGTTATAATATGAATATAATATGCTTACTGATTAAATAGTCCTGGGAAGTAAAGGCGGCTGGTGTGATGCTGACCACATCACCCATCTTGTGCCGATTGGTCTATAAATATAGATCTAGCCCTATATACCCTTTACGCCTATAGGCGTGGAAAAGAGTCCTTTACCTTTTTACTTTACTTACTGATAAAATACAACTGCAGTGTGGAAGACGGGTGTTTAGAAGGGCCGAATGTAAGACGGGCTTCTCTGCAAGTTTTGTTATCTTTTAAAAATAAAGTTCGTTTGTTCTCTCTCTCTCTCTCTCTCTCTCTCTCTCTCTCTCTCTCTCTCTCTCTCTCTCTCTCTCTCTCTCTCTCTACCGCTGTATTTTCTTTTAATTCAATGCTTTCCAAAGGCAAATGAGGCTGCTACCGCACCCTGGAGAGTCCAAACGCCCCCAAATTTGATTGCTGCCGCCCCCCCCCCCTGCATCTTTTCAGCGGGGGGGGGGGGGGGGGCGCCAACGCTTACCTTGGGAAACACTGGTCTAAACAGACATCCTGCCAAATAACAGGAATATTAAAGTTATTATGTTTGGCGCAGCTTAACCTATGATAGCCATTTCCTGTTTTTTTTTTTTTTTTTTTAGTTTTTTAGTTTTTTTAAAACATGTTTTGCCTTCTTTACCTACAACAATCTTTCTTTGTTTGCTTTCTACAATTTTACTACATTTTAAACATTAATCATATTTCCTAATATTTTTTATACTGGTTAAATATAAACAACATTCCCCTAAATTTACAGAAACACTTTTGTTATTGCCACACGTTTCATAGTAAATCGGTTAGAACAAATCTCCGTTGAGTTAAATAGTTATGTATTCAACAATGACAATAATTGTTCAGCAGTTCTTCCCTTCAACAGGCGTTCCCCTTGCCAGATTGCCTACATTCAGACCCACAATTATGGCTTTCAACGCCCAGTTTTTGCTTTTGAAATGTGCCATTGAATTACCGCCCAGATATGGACATTTTAGCCTAAAGAAAAAAAATACTGCTGAATAAAATGAAAGACCCTAATTTAGCGTCATTGGATGTGTATTCGATTCGTGCCCTCTAAATCTGGACGTCGATTTGAACATCTGTTTTTCTGCTCAGCAAAATCCGAGCCTCTGTTTTACCTCTAGGTTTAAATAAATTGTTGTTATGGCACATAAGTGGTGTAGTGGCTAAGACTCTTGCCTAACGAGAAATCACATTTTCTCAGATTACAATTATTTGCCGTAATCTCTCATTCCACATGTTTATCCCAACTGCCTGTGTAACTGTGTAACTGTGTAACACCCTGTCCAGTATTATATTCTCGACACCACAAGTGAGCACAGAGTCTCTCTACTGTTGAAGAGTGGATGGAGATTTTGTTACAGGCCTAACTGTAAAGCTAATTGTTTGTGTATTTGTGTTTTAGTTGTAAAATCGTCTCTCTGTGTCGCATACTGATGAAGAATTTCTAGCCGTAACGGTGAGTGAAGCTTACTAGTTCAGCTTCTCGTTTTCCAACCGATAGACCGACGATATTTTCTTGCCGACCCATGGATTGACGCCATTTCTTGCCGACCGGTGGACCGATGCTACTTCTTGCCGACCGATGGACTGATGCTACTTCTTGCTGACTGTGGGACTGACGCTATTTCTTGCCAACCGGTGGACCGACACCATTTCTTGCCGACCAGTGGACAAACGCTATTTCTTGCCGACCCGTGAATTGACGCTGTTTCTTGCCAACCGGGGGGGTTGACGCTATTTCTTTCCGACCAGTGGACCGATGCTACTTTTTGCGGACCGGTGGATTAAAGCTTTTTCTTGCCGACCGATGGATTGATGCTACTTTTTGCCGACCGATGGACTGATGCTACTTCTTGCTGACTGATCGACTGACGCTATTTTTTGCCAACCAGTGGACCGACGCCATTTCTTGCCGACCCGTGGACAGACGCTATTTTTTTGCCGACCGGTGGCGCTTTTTCTTGCCGACCGGAGGACCGATGCTACTTCTTGCCGACTGGTGGACTGACGTTATTTCTTGCCGACCGGTGGACTGACGCTATTTCTTGTTGACCAGTGGACCGGCGCTATTTCCTACTTCTTACCGACCGATGGACTGATGCTTTTTCTTGCCGACCGACGGACTGACGCTATTTCTTGCCGACCAGTGGACAGACGCTATTTCCTGCCGACCTGTGCACCGACGCTATTTCATGCCCACTGGTGGACAGATCCTATTTCTTGTCGACAGGTTAACCGACGCTATTTCTTGCCGACCGGTTCCGGTCTCTAGTCTTAGAATCTGGGCTTTTTGTATGGAAACTAAATGCCGGTACTTACTACAAAGTATCTACAAAGCTGCCGGTACTCATCAGTAAGTGGCTATTACTGTAGCGCTTCAAAAAATTGATGCATTAAAGATATGCTGGTACTGTATACTGTTGGATACCGCGAGAAAAACAAAAGCCCTCATTAGAATTCGCGAGATGAAGATATTTTAGAAACTGAGCTTGGCCCTAGATCAAACAAGCTTTGAAAAAGTGAAAGGAAGTATTATATGGAGTCAAGTGAAGCCTCAGTACTGTAGTAACTAGAGTTAACAGAATCATTCAAATACATTTACTTAGGGCCAAAATTTTAGGAAATAGGAATATTCGTCCAACAAAGGCTTCCTGCATATAAAGATCATTAATACAGTTGTCAAGTGATCCGCGGACACTTTCCAGGCTCATGTAGGTCACATTTGGCCTGTGGGCCGTGAATTGAAAACACTGAGGTACTGGAAAGAACAGATACTACAACAGTCTTTTCCATGCTCAGTCTATGAAGGCTCAGGTGGCTGGGTCACACCTGGTGAATGGAGGATGGCAGAGTCCCTAAGGACATCCTTTATGGTGAATTAAAGACAGGAAGAAGATGTCGAGGCCGACCTCTCCTACGAAATAAAAATGTGTGCAAGCGGGACATGAATGAGACAGGTATTGAGACTGACTCATGGGAACAAAATGCCATGGACCGTGTTGTGTGGAAATGGCAAATCAGGAAGGGATGAGACTGAAGGAAGAAATGATTGCAGAAAGGATGAGAGCTGAGCGTCTGAAAAGAAATGGATTAAACACAAATGTCGACAACAATGGTCCTGAAATCCCATGCTATCATTGTGGAAGACCTTTCTTGACACTGGAGGGTTTTGCTAGTCACATTCGCCATAGCCATGGGCTGTGAGTCTCACGCCTCCTCATAGAGCAAAAAAACACTATCGTCTGGAAAGACGGAAAGGGGCCAATGAATGAATGGGCCGTCAGTTGAATAGCCCGGGGCTACACTCTTGCTTTCCATCCAGCCTTCAGGTTTTGGCATCGAATTAAATTATATTGTTTTTTCATAATCACCCTGGACAACCCATCCCAAAATGGATATAGTGAACCTCGACTGAGAACTGTATTCGTTCCTGCCTCTTCGTGTCATGAAAAGATCTTATCTCGAAACTTCGTATCTCGAATCCCTATTCTCCATTACACCTTACGGAAAATTAAGTCATCCATTCTCAGATCAAAATTCACATTTAAAAAAAATATATAGAATTATTTTTTTTAATATAATATATTTACTCTCATCTAACCTAAGCATAGGCAAAGAAATGGATCAAGAGTCAGTAGGAGCATTTTAAAGAAATAAGGATGCAATTTTTACACCATTACAAACGTATGTGTATCAAATCTTTCGTTTTACATTATAATATGTGTAGTATGAAAACAACCTTCCGTTAAATTGGCCATCAGTAGTCGCCGCCATTGTCTTTGACTAAAAAGGTTCAAAAGACCAAACATTGCGTCAATCGTTTCCTTAAGTCCCTTCTAAAGTGATTATTGACATTGTCATTGAAGACATTAGTGGCTCTAGAAACACCGGCTTTATTGGATGCCACTTGTTCACTCATTTATCTAATTCGACCCAGTGCTGCAATATTATTATTGTCGTGTCACTTGTTGGGATAGCTAGCTTTTCACTGCTGTGTTTGTTCTAGGAGGACGTGTGCTCTTTCTCATCATACCTATTTTTATTTTTATTTATTTTTGATATTGAGTTCTTCACTCTTGCAGTTGTTTAGTGGTCGGCTCAAAGTATAGCCCCTCCACAGCTCCCCTATGTCTGATTCTTCAATTTCCAAAATCATGATTTAGTAAAGGGAGACAATTGTACCTACAATATCAATTTCGCTATCAGGTCCTTCCAATCGCATTTTGTATCCTAAATTTAAGTTCGTATGTAGAGGTCACAATGGAATACGAATAAAGTTGATGCATTGAAAATTTCATATGCAGAGCTTCCTGTCAGTTTCCCCAATGTATGCCTTGCTGCATCGTTTGCAGATAATTGCATAAATTACGTTGCGGGATTCGCGAGTAAAAGGTTCCTTAATTTGGAAAGAACCGTTAGGGAAACTGACCGAAGAAGTCTGAACAACGAAAGGACATGTCTTGCACGTGCTGCCTAAGACATTCAGCAGTCCCAAAAGGAAGTGTTGTGTGGATCGGTGAGAGTCGGCTTCGGACAAGTATGTCTTTTAGGTTGCGGTCTCGTCTATAGACTAATCTAGGTTTCTCACTAAAGATAATCTTGGTGTCCGGATCAGAGCAGAGGATGTCCAAATGACGAAAGAAAACTTTTGAAGCAACCACATTGTTAGGGTGAAAAGTTAAAATCAATTTGGTTCTATCAGTGGTGGAATTACGTTTGGTAAGGAAAGCATCTTTCCTGGTGATTGCTAACACTTTGTTTAGCGCCCCTTGTAAAATGTGTTCCGGATAGAAACGGGCACGGAAGAAATCGAGAAGTTCAACCGATTTATCTAAAAATTCAGAATCAACAGAGCATAACCTGCGCAATCGAAGGAGTTGTGAATACGGAATAGAATTTTTACACGGTTGTGGGTTAGAAGACGTATAGAGGAGATAACTGTGAGAATCCGTGGGTTTGTAGTAGGCTGTGGTCTTCAGACACGGAAAATCGATGCTAACCGTGATGTCAAGATAGTTTACTGAAGTGGTGGAGATCAGTGAGGTGAATTTGATAGCGGGATTGAAATTGTTGCTGTAAGTCATAAATTGGTCAAGCTCAACCATGGAGATTTCAGTGATACCAACGCCATCATCTATGTATCTCCTATACATCTCCGGAAACTTGCCCGGGTATGATAAACTGACCTCGTATTCCAGGTGGCCGATAAAGAGGCAAGCCCATCTCGACCCCACTGATCTGGTAGAAATACTGACCATTGAACTCAGAAGAGTAAAGGGTCAGTACCAGTTTGGCAAGGCGTACAAGAACTGAAGAAGGGATGGTCGGGTTGGACCTTCTGTCAAAAAAAAAACAAAAAAAACTGGAGTGCCCTAAGACCGGGAAGTAGCCTGATGGATCAGAAAACGTTGAGGGCATGGTTGGTGTCCTTGACAAATAAAGGAAGACTAGTGACAATAGGTTGGAAAATACTATCTAAAAATTGAGAAAGATACACCGTGGGACAGGAGCACGTAGATACAATGGGACGTCCAGGGTTGTTGGGCTTATGGATCTTAGGCAGCAAGTACATACACGGTTTGCCGAATTGGCTGTCAAAAACACGCATTTTGTTGGCCTGCTTCCAAAGAGTACCCTGTGAAATAAATTATTGTAACGTGTCCTTGACTTTCTTATTGTTGGAGACTGTAGGATCGTCCCTTCTGGCGGAATAGAAAACGGGGTGTTTCCGAGTTGGGTGCTGGCTACCTCAATACAAAGATCCTTCCTCCAAACCACTACAGCGCCCCCTTTGGCAGCTGATTTTATAACTTCCACCGATCCACACTTCACTTCCTTTTGGGACTACTGAATGCTTACGCAGCACGTGCAAGACATGTCCTTTCGTTGTTCAGACTTCTTCGGTCAGTTTCCCTAATGGTTCTTTCTAAATTAGGAAACCTTTTACTTGCGAATCCCGCAACGTAATTTATGCAATTATCTGCAAACGATGCAGCAAGGCATACATTGGGGAAACTGGCAGGAAGCTAGCTGATCGTTTCCGGGAACACGTCTCCGATATTGACAAAAAGACACTTAAACCAATCCCTCACCATTTTAGTAGTTCTGACCACAGAGGTCAAGATGATATATCTGTCATAGCATTAAAATCTTGCTCTGGTGATCATACTTTGCGCCTCGCTTTAGAAAATCGCCTCATCCAAAGCCTAGGCGTTCTTAGTCCAGGTGATATCAATATCCAACATACCTTCATATAAATAGTTCTACTCTTATGACATTTTAAATGGTAATTATTTTATTTTCTTTTTTTTAATTTTATTTCATATTATTACTTTATTCTATTTCTTATCGGTCAGTATCCTTTATATATCATTACCATTTGTATTTCTTTTATTCCCAGTATTATATTATATATTAACAATACTACTGTTTATTTATTTTTTTTTAATTTTTTTTATTTTTTTTTATTTTTTTGTGACTATATTTTTTAGCTATCGTTTGTTTTATTTTATTTCATTTATTCCACACCACATTTTTTTAAACGTTGCTCACAACATTCCTTAGAGTTCTACATACTCTCATCTCCTCGTTGTTAGTTTGTGTAGTTCACTTATGTTTGAAAAAGGCAGTCCGGTCGAAACGTTACGTTGTGTTGTTTTGTGCACGTGTTTCTGCTTCTCCATTTTGTTGAGCTTTTTAGTCAAATTTCTCTGGAATTCCTAACTAATTAGGATTGAGTACTTGTGCGCATTTCAGGAGGGATGTGGCATCCGTGTTAAATAACAATTTAGGTATCCACAGCTAATGGAAAGCAAAGAATTGGATTGGCTATTAATGCGTACTTAATGCAATTCAAGAGATACATTAGCTAAAAATTGAAAACCCCATCTGTCTATTTCCTTTAGCGGCATAAGAGGGCCATGAGGACAGATCAAATATAACAGAACAGACAGACAAGACAGATATGCGTGAACCAGAAAGAAACACATAAAATACAAACATGAATAAAATATAGACAGACGCAGACAGACACACAGACAGAAAGAAATACAGAAAGAAAGAAAGACAGAAAGAAGAAAGGAAAGAAAGAAATAAAGAAAGAAAGAAAGAAAGAAAGAAAGAAAGAAAGAAAGAAAGAAAGAAAGAAAGAAAGAAAGAAAGAAAGAAAGAAAGAAAGAAAGAAAGAAAGAAAGAAAGAAAGAAAAAAGAAAGAAAGAAAGAAAGAAAGAAAGAAAGAAGAAAGGAAAGAAAGAAAGAAAGAAAGAAAGAAAGAAAGAAAGAAAGAAAGAAAGAAAGAAAGAAAGAAAGAAAGAAAGAAAGAAAGAAAGAAAGAAAGAAAGAAAGAAAGAAAGAAAGAAAGAAAGAAAGAAAGAAAGAAAGAAAGAAATCAGTTTTAAAAAAAAAGAGAACCCCTATTTGAAGACAGCAAGAAAGCACACACCACATAATTTGAACTACTTACTCCATACAATATAACAAAATGATTCGGGCATCGGTTCTAACAAGCTCCTTGAGATCCTTGCTGATGGTTGCATTATCTGAGGCATTGGAGACTGCCACCTGTTCGATGATGCCGAACCTGAAGATGAAAAAAAGGACATATTGCTTACTGCATCGATATCATCTTCTAATGCAGCGTTGTTCAACGGAAATGTCCTGGGCATAAAATACTGCCATAAAATGCAACCAAATGATGCACCAGCGGCATCATTTTAGAACTACATTGCCGTATAGACGGTGAGACGTCGTGAAGTGACAGTTTGAGGACAGAAATATAGGTCGTTTTCGTATTAGCTGTTAGTGATTTCCAAAGTAATTACCTCTTGTGGATCTCGTAACAGGGGACTAATTAAGGGTTCGCGTAGATCGGGTTATTGTGCCGGACCATTGTAAGTGCAAATATAAAAAATAACAAAAATGAAGAAGAGGGGGATGAGGAGGAGAACTTATGTCATTTGCCCTTGCTTATTTAGTTTAATAGTTGAGAGTAAAGATAATTTTAAAAAATACGCACATGACTGATTTACACTGATGAAATATCACTTGGCATATATACATATTATGTATAGTTTATAATGTAGACACACTTAGAAACTAATAAACGTTTTGAAAATGAAAAAAAAAAGAATACAAATTAAAATTTTGGGATATCTGACCTTCTCTTTCCTGTTGTTGACACCATGAGCGTGTAGGGCTGCCTGGAAATTATCTCTCTAATTTTTTCTTGATCTGCCTCGTGGTCTACGGCCATTAAACTTCTTTGTATACACCGTTTTTACTCCTCAGTAGTCTGATACTCTCTCAGTCTACTAGCCCTCATGATTCAAATGCTTCAGAACAATAAGGCTTGGGTCATCAGACAAGAGTGAATGATAACACAAAGCACTTTGCGATGGTGTCACGAGACGACCTCAGTGGTTCCAGAAGTTAATACTTGTAATAAGTTCTTCTGGTTATTGAGAGACAGAATTATTTTTACTATGCCCTTAAACCAAATATTACTTTAAACCGCACAGATTTAATTGTTACCAGTCCTCCGCCGAGACAAAGCAACTGCGCTTGGTTTAATATTACATAACACTACGTAATACAGCCCGCTGGTCTACCTGAGAAAGTTCAGACTAGTGGATGTAATGTTTGATTGTAAAGCCAGTGTCATGAAATTATCTCCTGCCCACAGACTGTATAGGCGAGTAACTGGGGAAATAACTTAGTATCACACCTGAGATTATCTTCCCTGAGCTGAACCTTAGTGTCATAAAGGTTACATCACACAGACTGAGTGGGTGCCTTTTGAACAGACTATATCAGGGGAATTAGGTAGACAACTCTAGACATAGTGGCGACCAGGGGCTGGAGTTTCACACATGTCATTGAAATTCTCAGGAGAACAGGTGTTTGCCAATTAAGATGTCCAAACATCGGTCAAGGCCGTTCACCTTGAGTGACAGGCCACTTGTTAGCTAATTTGATCTGCAAGGTACTTCAGAGGCGTGGCTTAGGTCAACTCCTGGAGGGTTAGGTAGAACCTAGAAGGGGGAGGAGTTTTATTTGAGACAGATAGATAGGTTATACTACTAGCTCTGGAACTTCATTCACATCGCAGCCTTCGAGCAACAAACACATATCGACGTAGAGGTAATTTTACGGTCTGATTCTGGTTTGGCGATTGATGGAATGTTCCCAGCGCCCATGTGACGATGAGTCCACGAGACTACGATGTGTTAGACTCGGCCAGCTGGGAACGAGGTGGGGACGAGCAGGGACAGAACTGAAGAACCAGAAGAAGCTGGAAGAGGAGGAAGAGCTTGACAGTGCTCACGGCTGTCAGGGGTTATATGAAAAACAAGTTATGTTCATACATTGTTCATACTTTATCACCTTCATCACACCACTCTAATCCCAGGTGCTGTTTTCTCGCTGAAGCATCTCATCCCTATCATAACATTAGCCAGTCACTGTTTGTGTGAACACAACAAACTGGGAATGTCATTTAACGGATTGTTAGTAAGTAAAGCTGTCTGTCAAGTTTTATACTACATCGTTTGTTAAATTCCAAGTGGATTCAGTCTTACATGTTTAACTAAACTGATAGATAGAATTACATTTGGTGGGGGCTCACTAAATAATTGTGTACCGGGAGAAGGTGGGACGGGGTGGGTGGGGGGGGGGGGGGGGTCATTTGCCCTGTCTAATAATTCATTCAATATAATGATAGACATCTAAAACCCCTTTCCATCTCTCGTGGGTACCAAGTGCAGCTAATGTTAAAGAAATTAACGAGCCAATATGGCTGTTTTCTTGGATATCCAGGACTTTGTCTGAGAGCAACAAAGCTCAGATATTAGTCAGTTAATCTGGTGGAGGGAATGTGTTGAGAGAAAAATCCCTACTCAACATATAAAACATGAAATCCACCCACGTCACGTCACAGATGGCTGGCCTAACCTTCGTCTTTGTGTCGAGTTATCCAAGCGTTGAGGCAACGAGCGTGCAGATTATCTCGCAGACACTGCGGTTGATATTGCTCGTTCGGAATGGACGCAAGCGAAGTTATCAATGCCATATGCAGTACTCACCGTGAAGACAAAAATACCTTCACCCCCATATCCCTGTCTAGGCTGACAGACATAGGGAGCAACTTGAAACTGCAAGAAATGAACATTTCCCCAAGGGAACAAGTAAAGTAAGTAAGGCGTATAGGGCATATAGGGCTAGACCTATATTTTTAAAGACCAGTCGGCACAAGATGGGTGATGCGGTCACATCACACCGGCCGCCTCTACTTCCCGGGACTGCACCCGGTACCTACTCAAGGCTGGGTCTACCTGGGAGCCAAGGTTATTTTTGAAAAAGTCAGGCTTCGCCTGGGAGCGAACCCACAACCTTCCGATCCGCGCCGAGCGTCTAGCCGCTCCGCCACGGCGACTCCCAAGGGAACAAGACACTTAAATAATCAACACAGTGCAGGATTCATCGGTGGTTTTAGGCTTATATGGCTTTTGAGGAGGAGATCGGAGCACCTTTGTGGACCAGTCCGGAGTGTTGTGATGATAACCATACTAATCAAAAGTTTTATCTAATATGGCTACGTGTCCCAAAACAGAACAACAAATTGTCTGCCGAGAGCGTCATTCAAATTCCATTTGTCGAGAGACTATTCTATTAAGGAATATCACTAAAATATGCTCTCGTGAACTGAACTACGATGCCAATGCGAGTCAAATGGCTTGAGGACTTCAGTGAGGAGACCTTCCTGTTTTGTAGTGAGTTCACTGAAGGCCTATACTCCACACGGAAAAGGGAGATGGAGGATAAGATGAAGAAAAAAAAAAGAAGGGAAAGGGAAAACCTTTCAGTGAAACCTCACATAATTGCACTTTTTAAACAAGAATTGCCGAATAAACGCCAGGAAATTAATTCAAATATGCTTTTTTTTTTTTAGGCAGATTTTTTTTTTCCAATCACATCTTTCTCTGAAATCTAAAATTAACATATTTTCTAGCTATGTAGATGCCGCTTTAACCATGTCCCTTTTTTTCAAGATTAGAATTGATTGAGGTATTTATTCGAAATGGCTTTCTAGTTCAAGCTTGATAATAATTCTGAAAATACATTGACAATATCCAGACGCTTTGGGGACACATGCTTGATTTTTTTATTTCTTTATAGATGTGTGAACTGCTAAGAGGATTAACAATCTGAGGCTTTTGTGAAACAATCTTGCCAATTCATTTGTACGTCAAATCTTTTCTTTAAGTAGTGTGAGAGAAGAAGAAAGAAGAAAGAAAAGAAAGAAAGAAGAAAGAAAGAAAAGAAAGAAAGAAAGAAAGAAAAAGAAAGAAAGAAAGAAAGAAAGAAAGAAAGAAAGAAAGAAAGAAAGAAAGAAAGAAAGAAAGAAAAAGAAAGAAAGAAAGAAAGAAAGAAAGAGAAAGAAAGAAAGAAAGAAAGAAAAAAAGAAAGAAAGAAAGAAAGAAAGAAAGAAAGAAAGAAAGAAAAAAGAAAGAAAGAAAGAAAGAAACAGAAGACAGACAGAAACAAGAAAGAAAGAAAGAAAGAAAGAAGACAGACAGACAGACAGAACAGAAAGAAAGAAAGAAAGAAAGAAAGAAAGAAAGAAAGAAAGAAAGAAAGAAAGAAAGAAAGAAAGAAAGAAAGAAAGAAAGAAAGAAAGAAAGAAAGAAAGAAAGAAAGAAAGAAAGAAAGAAAGAAAGAAAGAAAGAAAGAAAGAAAGAAAGAAAGAAAGAAAGAAATCAAAGAGCATTGTTGAAGATTAAAATTTCTTCTTCAATCCTTCTGGCAGAAAACATTTATCGGTAGCCTTTATGAAATCTATTCGTACAGTTCATATCCCCTCGTGTAGCTTTCAGTATTGTCTTTATTGTGGTTGGAACTGGCCAGATTGTGGCTTTGCTGGTAGCATACAGTTGACAATGTTGTAGCAAATGCTCAGCATTTCCTGGTGTCACGCTTCAGGGACGCGTCTCAGTGTTTCCTAAACCGAAAATGTATCAACATTTACGATATTTCAGGTCTTTGAATTATATAATGATATAAATGATAGTCTTGAACATGAACAGCAAAAACAACGCGAGGAAACAAAGGCCAACAAACAGAGGGGGAAAAAAACGAAACTTTAAAGAGAAAAAAATAGTTGAATAGGAGAGAAACAGAATCAATGAAGACATAACAAACAAAAACAGAAGGTTAGCGCTGGAAAGAGGGCAGAAATTTTGAGTAGAGAATCAAAAAACCTCAAAATAAACTTACATTGCCTCTAGGTTATCAAGCAAGCACTCGACTTTAGACTATTGGTGTCGAGACAGCACTTTGACTAATACAAGCAAATCCGTGTACAGCTTTTCTGAGAGACCCTTGCTTTTCTGTATGGTTTACAGCAGTGGTTTTCGGGGTGAGAAATACAAAAGAAGGGGAAAGATGAGAGACAAAGCGCATCTCTACGTAGAGCCACAGTAAGTATGGGGATTTGATCACCCCATTTGAGTACTTTTATCACACAACCGCTGAAGCTCGGTATTGGGGCCCGCATTTTCTTTATTCGTGAGGAATGAAGCATTT